CCCGCGGGTGCGGACTGCGTAGCTAGCCGACTGCGGGCTCGGCAGTGCGGAGGCGGACGCCTGGCCCAGGCTTTGGCTTTCCGAGCCACGGGGCCGGTGTTCTCGCCCGCCGTGTCCGACCCAGGCTTCCTGCGCGCCCCGCGGGGATCCCGCGGTCCCAGCGCCGCCCTAGCTTATCTTCACTAGGCCTGCGACTGAGCCGATCGGCCGGGACCAGCCTTTTATTTTCCTTCCTTCTTACTGCAACCTCTTTGAAGTTTGTAAAATTCTGTGACGCACTCTGTATGCTTAATAGCTTATGAACTCTCCTACCCTGTCTACCGCTTACGCTCCTTCTCCATTTTCTCCAAAACGCATAGCGCCCTCCCTTGCTGACAGTGTCCTGGACCCACTTTCCTGAGCTGTGTTGCTAACGTTGTCATCGACCCTCGTCTCCCTTTATCCCTTTCTTGGACTGCGTGGCGTTGAGGGGAAGAGCAGTCTTAGAAACCAGCCAGCGCTGTACATCTCAGTCTTTCCTGTTTCCTGGCGGCTACCTCCGCAAAATGATAATAATACCCGCCTCCTCAAGGCATGAGAGATAAACTCAGAGATTGGCACATAGAAGCCCTCAAATTTATTTTTAACCCCGCAACCTAACGTGAACTCTGACATCTGCTGAAACAAGATTTCTCAAAGGTTAACCAATGACCTGTAATCAACAAATCCAAGCATCTGTGCTAATGTTCATATTCATGTCCAAGAATGAAATATATATATGGAGGGGGGTGCACAAGTTACGCCGAGCTGCCCGGGTTTATTATGCTCTGCGTGCTGCCAGCCAGGACAGCTCCAGGGCTGGGGACTTGAGTGATGACAATGCTCTCTCACTCACAAATCCTGGCGCAGGATTCTGGCTGTCAGCTCCAACGGCTCCATGTGGCTTCTGCAAGTGGCCTGGGCTTCCTCATAACGTAGGAGCCGGGTGCCAAGGGACGTCCTTGGAAGTGACCCAGCCTCTTTCACAGCAGTGTTTTTGTAGAGGCGGCCGCAAGGACCTGCTCAGTTTCAAGGAGAGGCAACCGACACCACCTGTAGGTGAGGGGGTATCAGGTTTCTGGAAGCGTAGGTGGGACTCAAACTACCCCTGTGGCCAGTTTTGGAAAACCCAGTCTGCCAGTCATAATCTCCCAGTCTTTAAACCCATCCTTCCCTCGCCCTGCTTTGTACTAGTTATTTTCATACTTGTCGAATTTCCCCTACTAGAAGTAACCTTCTAGATGAGGTGGGTGTTTTTAATTTTTGTACCACCGATCGTCAACCTTGAAAATGATTGAATTAAATTCAGTTTTGACATTTCAAAACTGAAATGTCGAATTCATTTGACAAATTTCAGATTGTGAGCTAATGTCACGAATACAATATCTTTTCAATAAAGATGCAGTAAATTGAAAATCTGACAGAAAATAAAGAGTTTCCTGCATCTCTCTTTACTGCCTATTTCTGAGATAATATCGTGTCTCAACAAGAGCCTGGGAATAAGCTTTGACACTCAGGATAACTTTTGTAAATTACTCTCCAACCATTTTACCGCTGAATGCTATGCAGGACTTTTCCTTGTCTAACCACAATATGCCACCTAATATACATCTATCAGGAAAGTCACTGTACCTTGACCTTTCCTGTTGTTTTAGCACAAACAAGAACATTTTCTGTGTAAAATGTTTTGTTTTCTCAAATATATTGTTAACACCATAAAGGACAAAGGGCAACTTGATTTTTATCTTTTGCTTCTCTGTATTTCTAAAATCTACAACAGCGCCATATATGGAAAAGATGTCCAATAAAATATTAGTGGATAAATACCATTCTGTTTTAAAGGGACATTTCTTGTTTAGCTTCAACTGTGGTTGGTTTCGCATATGCATCAGAGAAGACACAGGGAAACAACACTAAAGTAATAGAAGTTTAATAAAAGTTTCCTAAAATTAACTAATTTTGTAATTGGCATCGAATGAGTTTGCTTTAGACTGTGTTGTATCAGGTTTAAATAAAACATGAAAATGGGGCAGTGCCTGTGGCTCAAAGGAGTAGGGCGCTGGCCCCATATGCCAGAGGTTCACACCCAGCCTGGCCCAAAAAAAAAAAAAATGAAAATGAATTACTATCTTCTTTCCTTCCTTCCTTCTTTTGAGACAGAATTTTGCTCTGTCACCCTGGCTAGAGTACAGACGCATCATTATAGCTCACTGCAACCTCAAACACCTGGGTTCAAGCCATCATCCTGCCTCACCCTCCTGAGAAGATGGAACTACAGGTGCATGCCACCACGTGGGCTAATTTTTCTACTTTTAGTAGAGATGAGTCTTTCCCCTTGCTCAGGCTGGTCTCAAACTTCTGAGCTCAAGCAATCCTCCCACCTCAAGCTCCTCAAAAGCTAGGATTACAGGTGTGAGCCACTCGGCCCAGCCAGAATTACTATTTTTTTTTCTTTTCTTTTTTTTCCGAGACAGAATCTTAGTTTGTTGCCCTCAGTAGAGTGCTGCGATATCACAGCTCACAACAACCTCAAACTCTTGGGCTCAAGAGATCCTCTTGCCTCAGCCTCCCAAATAGCTGGGACTATAGGCACCCGCCATAATGCCTAATTACTTTTTACAGGCGGGATCTTGCTCTTGCTCAGGCAGTCCACCCACCTCAGCCTCCCAGAGTGCTAGCAAAATTACTGTTTGTATAGCGTAATTTAGGAGTTAATTTATATAATAATGTTTAATAAATATTGAAGATTTAAAAATTTTGTCCAAATTTCCCTCAAATATGATACTTTCATATGGACTGTAGGAGAAATAAACATTTTAATTTATATAATGTTTAATAAACACTGAATTTTTAAACATTTTATCCAAATTTCCCCCAAATATGATAGTTTCATGCGGACTCTAGGAGAAAACCAAATACCCAAATATCTCCAAGAAAAATGTAGGTGAAGTTTTTGGAAACTGAAGACCCAAAAGTCTTAATTCTTAATCTGTGACTTTCTTCCTGTACAAGCCCTTATTCCTTCATTTTGAAAAGGAGAAACTGTTTCTATTGTCAGTGAAGGAATTTTTAAAAGTAATAAAATTTCAAAGGTAATACAGTCAGACTAAATAAGTCCATGCTTTGGAATATTTTCCCCAAACAATATGTATTTATAAAACTGAGAAAAATAATTCTTACAAGGAACATTTTACTACTACTAATGTGTCATTTTATTCTTTTTTTTTTTTGACAGAGCCTCAAGCTGTTCCCCCTGGGTAGAGTGCTGTGGCATCACAGCTCACAGCAACCTCCAACTCCTGGGCTCAAGCGAGTCTCCTGTCTCTGCCTCCCAAGTAGCTGGGACCACAGAGTCCGGCTATTTTTTGGTTGCAGCTGTCATCGTTTTTTTTTGGCAGGCTCGGGCTGGATTCGAACCTGCCACCTTAGGTGTGTGTGGCTGGTGCCTTAGCCACTTGAGCCACAGGCGCCAAGCCTAATGTGTCATTTTAGACAAAATGAAAATTTTTTTCGTGGTTGCTAATATTGCCACTCATTGAATACTCAATTTTAGTTCTATTCTTCATTGGACATGACATTGGCATAGAAGGATAAGAGAGACAAGGAGGACCCAAATATCACATTACTAAATTTTTAAGAGAAAGTAAAATTAAGCAATGAGTATTTCATTTGGAATTCTCCAAACGGTCCTTTCCTGCAAGGTAATTAAAATGCTGATTCATACTCCAGTAGTGATTGAGAATACAAGGATTAAGGTAACATAAGACACATTTCATGGCTCAAGCTGGAGAACAGGTAACAAGAAATCAAACTGGGCAGCACCTGTGGCTCAAAGGAGTAGGGCGCCGGCCCCATATGCTGGAGGTGGTGGGTTCAAATCCAGCCCTGGCCAAAAACTGGAAAAAAAAAAAAAAAGAAAGAAATCATAAACAGACTTGTGATGTATAAATTTAGCAAGAAATTTGGAAAGATCTAAACTAAACTTGAAAAAAAAAAAAAAGACCTAATCTTCTATCTCATTTTGTTCTTAGCCTTTTGATTCACAACACCAAGAGACCTCAGGGGAAAAAATGACATTGTGCTTTTATTTTTTTCTAATTAAATATGCAACATGGATAACTTGTCTCATTAAATAGACCTTTGTAATTCACCTGATTTACTTGAGTGGTGCTAAATTACACAATTTATTTTATAAGGTTCGTCACAGGAAGGACGCACTGAGGTATGTAGGAAGAGGAAGGCCATCAATGCTGTAGAAACATTAAATCAACACACTAAAAAAATACACGTCTAAGATTTGACTCATAAATCTATCGCTGTGGCCAGCACGACTAATACAAATGGGGATTCTGAAAGACTTGACCAGTTGCTGGTAGTTGTGTGGAAGGTGTGGACTTGTTCCAGTTCACTCCCCTGTCACTTCTGAGAAAAGTGATGTAATGACCCCAGAACAGTAGATGGCAGGGGCTCTGCTCCATAACACTGAGTAAAGTAGGGCCACGTAGTTTGCTGTTTAGAGATGCTTCCAGTGCTAGGTGTAACTTCAGACTGAGGAGCTGGTTGTTGCTTGGGAGCTCTAAGAAATCCCCAAGCACCTGGCATTGTGAAAGATCCCCTGTTAAAGTGCTCTTCAAATATCATAAATAAACAGCATGGTGTAGCAGGGACACGTAGAGACAAGACTGGTTAGCCAGAGGCTGAAATCCCACATCAGACACCCAAATTGGCCAAATACAGTTAACATATAACCACAACAACAATTTGAAGAGAGAGAGAGAGAAATTATGGCAAAATAGATCACAAATCAATTTCATTTCTAGCTAAGTACACCGCTAGAAAATCACACACCCAGAAGACTTATATCTAATAGCATCTAGATTTCTGGATAATGGGTAAAACTACTTACTACCTTAAGAACACAAATTAGGAATAATCATAATCTAGTTGTGCTAGTGTTTGGTGAAACATTTTGTACAGTGGTGAGAAAACAGCAGAGGAGTTTACATAAAATAAAATATTCGTGATCACAGGACTCTGAAAAGGAAAAATTAATGAAAGTGATATGCATCAAACCAGTCGAGACTCAGCACTGCGGTCATCTATATGTAGCTGTAAATTCAGGCTCAAGAACTTTTCCTGGTCATAGATGATTAGAGTCTGAAATCATCTCCAGAATGACCTCGTTCTCCAACTCATTCAGATCTAACCAGACCATAGCACTACAGAAATCTCAAGGATACATTTCCTGGTTATATTCTTGTATTTATAACCTATTCCCCTGATTGTTTCAACTATTCCAGATTAAATTGTTCACATCCATCCCAACATCTTTGAGGAATACGATCATTTCATAAAAAGCAGGCCTTGCTTTTTGTGACAGTTTTCTTAGCAGGAAGTAGTGGTTCTCCAAAAGTCGTCATCAAGTGAAGGTCCTGGTGAGGACGTCCTCATGCTGCTGCAGGTGAACCGTGCCAATCCCCACGGCAGGCACTGGCAAAGGGGGACGGCTCACAAGACGGAGCTATCATCACAGCAGGGAAGAAACAAAATGACATTTTGACTAATCAGAGCTCAGCTTAGTTTCGTTAAGAAGGGGCATGGACTTCTCTAACCTTAACCGTAAGTCATGTCTGGAAAAAGAACTTACATAGAATAGGTTGGACGGAAATACATGTCACCACTAACAACTAACTAAATTCCAGGCATGATAAGGTGAGACAGGTTCTTGAATTCGTCCTATTCATAAGTAACTATCAGTTGATGTTAGGTCTAGAATTTCCTTAATTAGAACTATTTACATGTGAAAATGAGTCAAGCCAAGCAAACTAGTACCCAGTGAGTGAACTGCATTTTAATCAAAGCAGAACAGAAGCTCAACACAAGCATAGTTGCTCTTCTCACGGATTTTCTCTTTTCCTTTTTTTAAGGGACAGGGCCTTACTCTGTCACCTGGGCTGGAGTACAGTGGTATGATCATAACTGTGACCTTGACCTCCTGAGCTCAAGTGATCACCTGCCTCAGGCTCTTCAAGAGCTTGGACTACAGCCATGTACCACCATACCCAAATAATTTTTTTTTTTTTTTTTAGAGACTGGGTATCATTAAATATCCCAAGCTGGGTTCTACCTTGGCCTCCCTACGTTCTGGGTTTAGAGGCATGAACCACTGTGCTTTTACTTTTTTTAGGGTAAAAGCCTTTGGGTTTTCTACGTGATACCGTTATGAACACATACACAGCTCCGTGAACACTCAGTAGTTTCTTCTAAAGCAATAGCCTAAAACTAGATTTTTTATTTTAATTTATCTAGGACTATTTTAGTTCATCCAGACTGGTAAGAGGGGATAAACCCATTTATTGGCACTCTAGGAGAAATCACTCACACACACCCCCACACACCCACAAGAAAAAGCGATTACCTTGCAGGCCAATTGCTTTTCAAACCTTGGAGAAACAAAAGACCATGGACCCATGTTCTGAGGTTCCTCCTGACTCCAGATCAGATCTGAAAAACAAGAACTTCATCTCCACACCTCAAGTAAACATACAGACTATCCCCAATTTATGATGGTTTGACCTATAATTTTTTGACTTTACAGGGATATGAAACTGATACACATTCAGTAGAAACAGTATTTCAAGTTCCCAGCCACATACCCATTTTGTTTGCCACTTTCAGTACAGTAATCGATAAACTACAGGAGATATTCAACGCTTTATTATTATACAACGTGCTTTGTGTGAGGTTTCCTTCCAGTTGGTCTATATCCTCCTCAGGACTTGATTATTGTCAGTTTTTGTTTTCTTTTTTTTTTTTTGAGACAGAGCCTCAAGCTATCCCCCTGGGTAGAGTGCCGTGGCATTACAGCTCACAGCAACCTCCAACTCCTGGGCTCAAGCGAGTCTCCTGCCTCCGCCTCCCAAGTAGCTGGGACCACAGGCGCCCGCCACAACGCCCGGCTATTTTTTGGTTGCAGCCGTCATTGTTGTTTGGCGGGTCCGGGCTGGGGATTCGAAACCGCCACCTTAGGTGTAGGTGGCTGGCGCCTTAGCCGGGTGAGCTATAGGCGCCGAGCCAGGTTTTGTTTTCTAAAGACAGGGTCTCACTCTGTTGCCCTGGCTGGAGTGCAGCAGCGTGATCATAGCTCACTGCAGCCTTGAAGTCGAGGGCTCAAGCAATCCTCCGGCTTCAGCTTCCTGAGTAGCTAGGACTACAGGGACCCACCACAGCACCTAGCTAATTTTTCTCTTTTTTTGTAGAGATGAGGTCTCACACTCTTGCTCAGGCTGGTCTCAAACTCCTGACCTCAAGGGATCCTCCTGGCTCAGCGCCTGTGGCTCAAGTGGCTAAGGTGCCAGCCACATACACCTAAGGTGGCAGGTTTAAATCCAGCCCAGGCCCGTCAAACAACAATGACGGCTGCAACCAAAAAATAGCCGGGTATTGTGGCAGGCACCTGTAGTCCCAGCTACTTGGGAGGCAGAGGCAGGAGACTCACTTTAGCCCAGGAGTTGGAGGTTGCTGTGAGCTGTGATGCCACAGCACTCTACCCAGGGGAACAGCTTGAGGCTCTGTCTCAAAAAAGAAAAAGAGATCCTCCTTCGTTAGCCCCTGGAGTATCACTGGCAGTCCCAGCTACTGTTGAGTTTTGAGAATTCTTGATATAATATATAGCACTCTGTCAGACATGTATGTGCAAATACTTATTCCCAATTTGTGGCTTTTCTTTTTATTTCTTTACATTGCTTCTCATGATGCAAAAGTTTTTCATTTTGATGCAGTTCAAATTTTCTTTTATGAAATGTGCTTTTTGTGTCATATCTAACAATCTTTTGTACAAGGTCACAAACATTTTTCTCCTGTTTTCTTCTAGGAGTTTTATAGTTTTACATCTAGTTTTATGAACAATTTTGAGTTAATTTCTGTATAAGATGCATAGAGGCAGCCAATATTCCGGCCTCTAACCCCCATTTCTTGAAATGCTTGTCTTTTAAAATTATACTGTATTTCTCGTAAATGAAAGTATAACATCAATAACCCCCAAATTCTTGCAAAAGAGAGAAAGAAAAGATATGAAAAATTGCCAGGCTGAGGGATCTCAAGAGAGTGATGGAGGCACTGGCTCTCATCATACGTTTTTCCTATGTTAAGTTTCCACGATATTTGATTTTCTTTTTTTGTTAAGACAGTCTTACTCTGTGGCCCAAGCTAGAGTGCTATGGTGTCACCCTAGTTCACAGCAACCTTAAACCCCTGGGCTCAACCCCTGCTTCAGCCTCCTGAGTAGCTGAGACTACAGGCATCTACCACAATGCCCAGCTAATTTGTCTAGTTTTATTTTATTTTAATTAATTAATTTATTTATTTATTTATTTTGAGACAGAGTCTCACTCTGTGCCCTGGGTAGAGTGCTATGGCATTATAGCTCATAGCAACCTCAAACTCTTGGGCTCAAGTGATCCTCCTGCCTCAGCCTCCTGAGTTGCTGGGGCTACAGGTGCCCACCACAACTCCTGGCTAGTTTTACTATTTTTAGTAGAAACAGGGTGTCACTCTTGCTCAGGCTGGTGTCAAAATCCTGAGCTCAAGCAATCCACCAACCTCGGCCTACCAGAGTGTTGAGATTACAGGCATAAGCCACCTTGCTTGGCGCATGAGATTTAATTTTCTTTCTTTCTTTTTTTCCTTCATAAAACCCAGATTACAGTTAAGAGACTGAATTTTCTAATAACTCTCAGACCACCTCTTTTCATTTGAAACTGCTTGAATGGGTTCCAGTGTCTGAAAGCCGGAGAACCTTAGCGGAACAAGACTTTACCTTTCACATGCTGGTATTTGCTCATCTCTTGTTGCAAAGAGTCCAGGGGGAAGGGGCAAAGCTCCTCTATGCGGATGATGGCAAAGGCATCCTTCTTGGCCCCCAGGGATTCTCTCTGCTTTACCAGGGCGTAGAAATGTTTGCCAGAGCAGAACACAAGTGTCTTAACCCTGTTGGGGAGAAAGAGGGCAATGGGGGCAGGAAGAAATCATCAAGTAAGAATGGTAACAGAAGAAAGAGATCACAGTGCAGACTGAAATGCCTCGCTAACCAAGAGGTGGGGGCTCTGCACTGGGTTCAGTCGCACGCATGCCCTGGCCCCCCTTCTTTAGCCACACACGCCTCCCAAGTTCCCCCTCCACACACTCTCTAACTCCCACGCCACTGATTTACAGACTCCTATCAGAGGAAAGGAGCATTTCCATCACTTTGGATTCCTAAATGTGAACTCATTTCCCCACTAATGAAATTTCTGCCACAGAGTATGAAGATGGAGGAGTCACGTCACGTTACTTTTTTGGATCCACAGATGAATCACCAATGACCGCTTTGAATGTTGTTCCTGGTGCCATTTCTTGAAGAGCCGACACAGCTGCCTAAAGGGAGAAGAAGCCACACGTCTGGCGACAGTGGAGAAGAGTGGACGCTTTCAGCGTCTTCAGCAAAACAGAGTGTCAGAAATCTAGCCCAAAACTATACACACACCTACTCTACTAATAAACACAGCATTTCTCAAAAAAAAATGTCAGTTCTGTATACATCAGAGTGAAATTATGTTTCAGAGGTTAAATAAAATTGCCTTTTGTCCAGGGCCACAAAATTTTAAGAATCTAAATTTCAGTTTGATCATACCCATTTATTTATTTATTTATTTTAGATGGAGCCTCAAGCTGTCCCCCTGGGTAGAGTGCCAT